TAATGTTTCTCGAGCAGCAAATCAGCATATTATACTGATTTCTGAAGATCATGTGACACTGAAGACTGGAGTAATGCTGCTGAAAATACAGCTGCGCATCACAGAAATACATTACAGTTGAACACATTCACATAGAAAACAGCTGTTTTACATAGTAAAAATATTTCTAAATTTTTCCTGTATTTTTAGATCAAATAAACGCAGCCTTGCTGAGCAGAAGAGACTTCTTTCAACTTACTGCAAGTGTATTTTCCTTGTAGTTTTTACACTAGTGTAATCATGAACGTGTGTGTGTGTGCACGAATGCACATTCATGCTGCAGGCCTGCACACATATTTTCACATGGTACTTCAAAGTACAAAAACTGGACAGGTACCATGTTATAACAAAATATGTTATTGCCATGAGACAGTATGTTAAACAAAACAAACAACAACAAAAAAAACAGTAAAAGTAAAAAAAATGTTTTTTGTTTTTTTTAAATGTGAATTTTTATGGACATAGTTTGGAGTTGTTAATACAAAATAAAACAAAGAAAACAATTCTATATTTTAAAAAATATCATTTTCGAAAATTACACACACACACACACACAAAACATGTAAAAAACAAAACAAACAAACAAAAACATTGTATTTATGAACATAATAATATATTAGTATTTTGGTACATTTGGGAGATTTTCAGTAAAAGTTACAATTTATTTAAACAAATGTTAATCATTTATATGGACATACTTGGGAGTTGTTAATAACTATAATAATAATTGTAAATAACACAATGAAATTATATATATATATATATAATGTGTATTTTAAGGAAGACCTTTTTTTAGTGTCTTTTAAATATTTAAATACATTTTTCAAATCATGTTTAAATGCCACAGAACGTGGAGAAACTTCGACAAATCTACGCATGCATAAATAAAGACATGCAGCATGTGGTCAGTGATGAATGCAGTCAGTCTCTGTGTTTGATGAGCAGCAGCTGCGCATACAGACAGCAGAGCAGCTCGTTTGAGTCTCAGTGGCATCAATTCAGGCATCACCACATCACACATCAGCAACGGTTCAGAGACAGAAAACGATGTTAGGAAACACATTAAAGGATTCAGTGTAGTGTCTTTTAAATATTTAAATACATTTTTCAAATCATGTTTAAATGCCACAGAACGTGGAGAAACTTCGACAAATCTACGCATGCATAAATAAAACTTACCGATTATCAAAACGTTTTGTATAAATACAAAAATCCAGCCTCTTATTTTTGCATCAAATAACATTGAGCTGTCTGATATTATTCATCTGTGGATCTTTACTGCCACCTGCTGTAAAAACAGAAGACATGATTGCTGCACAGGATGGATTTTTAAAATCGTTTTATTTTCCGCATAAAGATATGATATTCTTACGTTGTTTTACCATCTTTTGAGCTCCAGTAAAGAGTTCGTGAGTGTGATCGAGTATTTCTGATCAGGCGGAATCCAGCGGCAGCTCGGCCGTCTCAGGTATGACGTCACTGGGGTCTTTCCTCGTGCGGCTCCGTGAGGGTCATGCAGTCGGGCTGATCTCTGCTGTTATTATTATTATTATTATTATTTGATATCGTGTCTCTCGTCATGATGGGCGGCAGCAGCAGCAGGATCGCGGCTGGTTTGGGCGCGGCGCTGTTCGTCGGTTACTGCATTTATTTCGACAGAAAGAGACGGAGTGACCCGAACTACAAGAACAAACTACGAGAACGTGAGAGCACCTGTCTGTCCATCTACACATCTGTCTGGCTATTAACCTATCCATCTGCCTGTCTGGCTATCTATTAATCTATCTATCTCTCTATCCATCCGTCTATCTATCATCTGTCTATCCATCTGTCTGTCTATATCTATCTATCTATCTATATATCCATCCATCTATCATCTGTCTATCCATCTGCCTATCTATCTGTCTATCAATCTATCCATCCATCTATCATCTGTCTATCCATCTGCATATCTATCTATCCGTCTATCCATCCATCCGTCTATCCATCCATCCGTCTATCTATCTATCTGTTTATCCATCCATCCATCCGTCTATCCATCCATCCATCCGTCTATCTATCTATCTGTCTATCCATCCATCTGTCTATCCATCCATCCATCTGTCTATCCATCCATCCGTCTATCTATCCATCCATCTGTCTGTCTATCCATCTGTCTATCCATCTGTCTATCTATCTATCTGTCTATCCATCCATCTGTCTATCCATCCATCCATCTGTCTATCCATCCATCCGTCTATCTATCCATCCATCTGTCCATCCATCCATCCATCCGTTATCCATCCATCCGTCTATCTGTCTGTCTATCCATCTATCTATCTATCTATCCATCTGTCTATCCATCCATCCATCCGTCTATCTATCTATCTATCTATCTATCTATCCATCTGTCTATCCATCCATCTATCCATCTATAAAACATCTTAAACTTAGATATAGTGAACTAGACAAGATATAGTTAACAGGTTAATCTTCTGTAGTAGTAGTAAGATGCAGATGGAGTGATGAGTTCGTTAGACAGATGTGTTAATGAGTTGATGAATGTGATTTTGTTTCAGGAAGAAAAAAGCAGAAGGCGGTTCAGGAGACAGCTGGATTATCAAGGGTAATTTCACACACATTTCTGTTAGTTTTTCTTGATGTAGTGAATCATGATCGAGAAATAGCCACAGAAAATGATCTCTAATGTTTTTAATCTTTTCTATCTCTGTGTTTGTTCAGTTACCAGACCTGAAAGACGCCGAAGCCGTTCAGAAGTTCTTCCTCGAGGAGATTCAGCTGGGAGAAGAGCTGCTGGCGCAGGGTGAGATCTCATTTCTGTCTACTTTTCGAAAGTCAAAAACGCCGGGGTAGTGTAAAGGACAGGCGTAAAGCCCCGTTCACACCAAGAACGATAACTATAAAGATAACGATATTAGCGTCCGAGCTCGTTACAGCAGGATGGATTCTGATTGGCTGTCAATTTTTTATCGTTCATCAACTGGGAAAAATTGTTTGGAAAGTGATTCCAACGATATCGTTTCGCTTTATCGTTATAGTTGTGGTGTGGACTCTGCTATTCTTTAATATTGAGAACGATTTTTAGAACTATATCTTTATCGTTAACTTTATCGTTATCGTCCTTGGTGTGAACGGACCTTAACCGTTGCAAAAGTTATGCGTTTTAAAACGAAAACACAGTAGTGTAAACATAGCCTAACAGCGCTCGTCAATGTCAAAATAATTGAGATGGACAATCAAATCAAAGTGGGCGGAGTTTACCGTTAACAAGCAGAGTGCGAATGTTGCTTCTTTTGCTCAAATAGCATTAAAAAAAAAAAAAAAGTTTATTTTTCAGGCTTGACTAGCCAGTGCGCATGCGCGCCTCTCAGAACGCGGTTTCTATAGCAACCGGAGCTTCTAACGGGAGCTGCAGTGACGTGTGATTTTACCGATTAGCGATTGGCTGTTTTATTCAGAAGGCGGGGCTTCCTTCGATGCAAACGAATGCAAACTACTTGAATTTTTTTCTTTCAAATTTCGCCGTTTTAAATGGAAAATGTGGTATAATTTACGTGATTTGTGTAATTCCATCAACAGAATGTGATGAGACGAGAAATGTTTTGCATTTTCGACATATCAGGCATACAAATAAGAGCGAATGTGTGCGTATTTTAAAATATTATTTGCTAAAAATTACTTACCAAATAGAATCAGACGTAGAATATCCTTCACCGTTCTTTTTTTGTTTTGTTACTTCATAAAGTACATTTTCAAGACATGTTTACGGCCTTTGTTTCTCCAGAGGTGTTAACAGTGCTATCTTAGTAACAATTAGATACTTTTTGAGATAATTTGAAGTAGTTTTCATTTTCATATTTTTTTAGTAATTGGGTTTTTAGTAATAGTTTTTTTTTTTTTATATATATAGTTTATAGGTTATATAGTTTTAATTAATTTTATTTCAGTTTTAGTTATTTTAGTCCATCAAGCTAAACGAAAATGAGAAATGGCAACGAGCTGAAATAATTTTATTTAATAAAATAATGATTTTTTATTTCAACTAACGTTCTATTGCATCAAAATGTTTGTTATGGTTTTAGTTCACTATAAGAACCCTGGCTGTTAACCAGTGGTGGATAAAGTACCTGAAAGCCACAGTAAAAGTACAGATATCTTACCAGAAAATGACTTTGGTAGAAGTTAAAGTTACCATTTAGAATAAAAAGTTTTAAAGTACGTGATATTTATTGCACTTAAGTTTTTAGTATTAAACTCACTTAAGTATAGAAAGTAAAAGTACAAGTAAATTCAAAATAGAAAAGGAGCAAATAAATGTGACCCTGGACCTTTTTTGTTTTAACAATCAAACACAAAATAGAAATTAAATACCGTATTGGCCCGAATATAAGACGACCCTGATTATAAGACGACCCCCCCTTTTTCCAGATGTACCTTTTGGAAAAAGGCTTTTTAAAAACCAAATCTTGTTTTTTTTCTCAGTAAAACACATTTTGTCTTCAATTATTTTCATATTGCATATTTTTCCTATTTTAATTTTTGTTTTGAAAGTATGGTAAAAACTGGTAAAATGTACCAACAATCACATTTAAAAAATATACACTTTTTGATATACCATAAAAAAAAATAAAAAAAACTGGTAGCCCATCTGAATTAGGACATTTAGGCTATCCATCTAATAGTAGCCTACCAAAATCTTATTAACAGTAGAAGTTCAATCTTACTGTAGTCTTCAAATCTGGGTACTGTCTTACGTTTTAAAATCACAAAGGGAGTTTGGTCCCATCATGCTAACGTGACAGTCAGGATTCATGCAGCTGTAAGGTTTTCTTTTTCTTTTGTTTTTACTCGCGATCTTTACAACACGCATTACATTACGTATTTCATGGCACACTCGTTTTATGCGTATTTGGCGCCACCTATTGTTGTGGGTGTATTATTGACATGTCAAAGTCTAGACCCTGAATATAAGACGACCGCGTTTTTTCAGATGTATTTCCAAGAAAAAAACATCGTCTTATATTCGGGTCAATACGGTATCTCATTTCTAATGTTTTATGCAGATTAAATAGGTTTTAAGGAAACTTTTGGCTTGTCTCCCGAGGCCACAGGAGGGCGCAATGAGCAAAATAATGCAGCGCATTTAAATTGTCAACGCAAGGAAGTAAAAAAACGTGCATTACGTATAAATTAACTCATAAATCAAAGATAATTTCGTAAATTGCATAAACAATTATGAACAAAACAGCATCATGCATTTATGCATTGCTTAATCTAAAGAGCCGAAGCACCATTCACACAGATTGCCTTTAAAAACATATGAGACGCAGTGAAAAGGAAAAAACCTCTACAAATTTGTGACGTGTTTTCTAAAAGTTTAAACTGTTTTAACTTTGCATGGCTACATCTCTTGTGTGAGACGCGAGTGCAGCAGTCATATTTGTCC